AGGTAATTCACAGTGGAAGACAGTCTTATGAATGTAGGGAGTGTGGGAAAGCTTTTACATCTGTTTTCATCCTCAATCATCATCAGAGAGTCCACAGAAAAGAAAGACCTCATCAGTGCCGTGAATGTGGAAAATCTTTTATGCTCAGTCTACACCTTCATATACACCAAATAGTTCACACTGGAGTAAAGCCTCATCAGTGCAGCGAGTGTGGGAAATCGTTTTCAGCTGGTTCCAAGCTTAGTAACCATCAGAGAGTGCACAGCGGAGAAAGACCTTATGAGTGCAGCGAATGCGGGAAGTCTTTTATCCAAAGGCATCACCTTATGACACACCAGAGAGTTCACACCGGAGAAAGGCCACACCAGTGCAAGGAATGTGGGGAGTTTTTTGCTTCCGGTTTTAACCTCAGAAATCATCAGAGAATTCATACCGGAGAAAGGCCTTACGAGTGCAGTGAATGTGGCAAATCCTTCATCCAAAAATGTTACTTTCTTACACACCTGAGAATTCACACAGGAGAAAGGCCTTATGAGTGCAGTGTATGTGGGTCATCTTTTACCACCAATTACGCCCTCCATAAACACCAGAGAGTTCACACAAGCAAAAGGCCTTATGAGTGTACTGAATGTGGGAAATCCTTTAGGACAAATTCTTACCTCATTGAACACTGGAGAGTTCACACTGGAGAAAAGCCTTATCAGTGTAGAGAATGTGAGAAATCCTTTTCGACTGGAACAGGCCTCCGTTATCATCAGAGCGTTCACACCGGATTAAAGCCTTTTGAGTGCAGTGAATGCGGGAAGTCTTTTCCCTGTAGCTCAGCGCTCATTCGACATCAAAGAACTCACACAGGAGAAAGGCCTTATGTGTGCGTTGAATGTGGGAAATCCTTTATTCGAAGACATCATCTTGTTGAACACCAGCGCATTCACACAAAGGCCTCAGGATTGTAGAGAATATGGGCGATCTTCTTTTTCCCCTCTGGGAAATCTTTTAAAAATATTTTCTAGTCCAATTAACAGTGGATAGTTCACATGGGAGAAAGGTGTTTGATTGCAAAAATATGCTAAATCCTTTAGCCGTAAATCTTCCCTTTCTTAGCACCTGAGACTTAATGTTGGTGAAAGGTCTCATGAGTGTAGTGGACGTATGAAATGTTTTAGCTGTATCTATGGTGTTTGTTTTTATCTGAGAGTTCACGTAGGTTGAAGGCTGTATGTTGCAGCAAATGTGAAAAATCGTTTACCCGTAGCTTGCCAGTCTTTCCGTCCCTGTCAGTTCACTCAATAGAATGGTCTTAGGGCTGCAGGGAATGTGGGAAATCCTTTTCCGAAAGGATTTACCTTATTGTACAGTGTAGCGTTTGCATGAGAGAAATATTTCAGACCCGCAAGGGAATGCGAAATTTTCTTCC